ATGTACGTAAGTGCACCCATGTCATGTAATGCCTGTGAAGGCCAGAAGAGGGTGTCAGATCCTCTGGAATTGGAGTTACAGACAGTTGTTAGCTGTTATGTGGGTGCTGGGAACCAAACCTAAGTCATCTGTGAGTGCTCGTAACTGCTGAGCCATATCTCCAGCCCCCAAGTAGATTTTCTTTAGGGAGTATTACATCTCATAACCTTTCCTGGATGTTAAGTTAATGTCAATAACTGAGACATGGTTCCTATCCTTAAAGTGCTCATAACAAAACAGGACAATAAACTTCATACCTGCCTACCATTCAATAATTTCCTGCTTGCTATGGGATTAACAATGAATTTTCACTAACTCTTCCAAAAAGGACTGTGTTAGTAGGTTAGCTATCATGAGCCCACTTTACAGACAGGAAAAACCAACAACCCAAGGGAACTGGAGGTGAAGATGATCAAGATACATTCGTGTGTGTGTGTGTGTGTGTGTGTGTATGAAACTGTCAAAGAATATAAAAAAGTCTTTTAAGAAAATAGGGGCATTGGAGAGATGGCTCAGTGGTTGAGAGCATTTGCTGCTCTTCCAGGGGACCTGAGTTCGGTTCCCTGCACCCACATCCAGCATCTCGGAACCACCTGTAACTCTAGCTCCAAGGGGATCCAATGCTTCTGGGCTCCACAGGCACCTGCACTCATACATGCATGTCCCCCCCCAAAACATATAATTAAAACATATCTTTAGATTTTTTTTTAAACCTGGAAAGTTATATAGCTTACCTGAGATCTTTTCACTAACAATGTAAAACGTAGGCCCAAGTTCATTGCCAAAGGTTAAATTAGGTACTCACCCCCCCCACACACAGCTGTCCAACTCCCATCAACTGGTCACACAGTTTACACAATTACAAACGTTTCTGAAAACGGGTACTTTTTGCTTAGAGTTTCATTTTTCTGCTAACTCGAACCATGAAGCCGAAATTCATGGTATATGCTGTAAGAAGAAATGAACGAAATGAGGGAAATCTCTTATTGCTCGTGCTCTGAGTGCTGGACAGCCAAACTGCTGACACTGCAGCAGCACACAGCACACCTGCGGGACACTTTCGCTATAGCTTATGTCAATTCTACCATTATGTTGGTGCAAAACTAAAAAACTTCAGAACGTCTTAAAAAAAAAATCAACATGCATCACGTCATCATCGTCATTATTAATTTGTACCAATGCGACACACCCTGAAGTAATTTTAGGATGAGTCTTGCTTTTAATAAAAGGTACAAGTCTCTGAAATCAGAACACAGGTATTTTTCCCCCACATCAGTTATAAGGTCTCAGGCCATCTCAGCATGAGTGGATCCTGATGAATATCTGAGGAATTAGGTTAGACATTTGCTCAATTTCAAAGACTCACTATATGCAGAGCAGATATGAACTGTGCTTCAAGTAAGTCAGATAGATGAATCAATTCTTTACATCAGGAGTCAGAAAGTAGAAGAGCACAATGAATCCACCTCCACTATTAACTTTATGTACTACAAAACTGACCTTATCTTCAGAAAAATAATATCCAAAGAAACGATCCACCTATACAGAGATTAAAAACATTCTCAACAGTGCAAAAATAGCTAACCGTTAAGGAGGTCAGCGAGCATGTAGGTTTTAGCCCAGCTGATGTAATACACAGTTGAAACACAAGAGGGCAATGAAGATCAAAATAGAAACAACAGTCGGCTCCCACAACCCACGTTTCCTGGAAATAGTTGCGTATTTTCACTCAAATCATAAACATCTGCTAGGTGAACAAAGCTATGTTGACTGTTTTAGGATAAAATTTTAGAGAGCTGAACCATCAAGGAGGATGAAAATATTATCGCCTCACCTCTCCCAACCACAGAATCTTCCAGTTCTAACAGAAGCTGTCTCCAGTGTGACACTGGGTATTGGGCAAGCATGGGAACCATTAAACAACCTGGAGGGCTCTGTGTTAGTGAGTCCTTGCCAGTCTGAGTAACAACATAACTGGATGCCTTAAAATGAATGTAAAAGTGAAGTCAATGCATGTTATGCACTGCAAAACCAAAAAAAAATCACTAGTCAAATCCACTATACCAAAACTCATACCAGCTACCCAACAGTTTTTAAATAACTAAGGGATATTTTCTCTTAAACTTATTTTTTCTCCTTCACTTTTTTCTATTTAAGTCAGAAAAAAAGCCACGTACTCATAAGAAAAATCATCATTATTATATGAACATTTAATATTATCTTGAATTAAAAAAAAAAAAAAAAGCTCTCAAAGAAGAAAAATTCGGGCTCTTTAAAACAGCCTTTTATACCAGGCACAAGACTGCATGCAGTCTCAGTACTCAGGAGGCTGAGGCACGAGGACTGCAATTTTTAAAAAACATTTTATTATTTTTATTTTGTATGTATATGTATTGCCTGCATGTAGGTAAGTGCACCCATGTCGTGCAATGCCTACAGAGGACAGAAGAGGCTGTCGGATCCCTTGGAACTGGAGTTACAGAGAGCTGTTAGCTGCCATGTGGGTGCTGGGATTCAAACCTGGGTCTTCTGCAAGAACAGCCAGTGTTCTCAACTGCTGAGCCATCTCTCCAACCCCAAGGATTGCAAATTTAAGGCCATTCTGGGCAATTTAGCAAGACCCTGTCTTCAGATAAAAAGGGGTTGGAGATTCAGCTCAATGCTTGCCTGGCACGTGTGGGATCCTGGACTCAATCACCAGTACCTCAAAATGGCATCTAATACTGCTTCTTCTTGGAAATCCTTTTGTAAATGTGCTTTCTTCAAAAACTAAATGAGACTGATGTTAAACTCAGCTCTTCTATTCAAAAGGACAAAACAGCCAGGCATGGTGATTCATGCCTCTTGAGTCCAGCACTTAGGGGGCTGAGGTAGGAGGACGGCTATGGGTTCAAAGTCAACCTGAGCTACAGAATAAGATTAACCTGTCTCAAAAAAGAAAAACCAGCCACACAAAAACCCAAAGATAAAAACAAAACAGTAAAGGAAAAACAATTTATTTACAATGACTGCACCAAGTTCTTGAAAGCCAAGTAGTTCTGGAACGGCATGCCTTAAGAGCTTGCCTCTAAATAACATGGAGTACAAATGATCAGGATAAAAACATGTCACACTCCTCATATATAAACTAGCAATTAGCATATGAAACCATTGAACATGAATAAATATTAAATGACTGGACAGACTATGAAGTAAACTTGTAAGTCAGAATATTTTTAAATTGCAGTTTGGTCATTTAAATGCACTGTTCAAGTTTTAATTTGAAAATCATAATCCAAGTGTGAAAATATTAAATAATAAACCAATCAACAAAAAAAAAGTTCAAATTTCAGCACCTACTTGGTCAGAGGCATGCAGTCTGTGTACTTGCAAGTTACTGCAAACTTTTTTATATTGTACTTTAAGCAACTAACTTGTGTCAGAGACTTGTGGGAAACCTTGGAAAGGATTACAGATTTTCTCCTTTAAAGAGAAAGACTGGCTAAAAGGCAAAGTAAAGTCAGGGAGAAAAGCCCTGTTCGAAGTCAGCCCTGACATCCAGTGCTAAGGGGGAGCAGGCATAGAAGGCTGTCACTGTTTTACACACTTGCAGGATTGGCTTCTCAACACCTTCATGCTGAATAGCAGCAGGTTCGTGTGGACAGGAACAAGCAAGCACATGTCACAGAAGCACAAGTACAAAGTAAACACAGGTAGAGGCTGGCAAGATGGCTCAGTGGGTAAAGGCACTTGCTGCCAAGCCTGATGACCTGACATCAATCTCTGGGACCCACATAATGAAAGGAAAGAACTAACTCCTACAAATCGTCCTCTGACTGCCGCACAGTGTCGTGCCACAAACATATGTGCATACACACTAAGACAAAATAAATAAAATGTACTAAAAATTTTTTTAAAAATCAACAAATAGGCAGAGAAAATGAATTTTGTTCTTGTGTTCATAAGGATTTTAGTCCAAAAAGGCGTCAAGAGAATAAACATTAACAAATAAACAAACTGTCCCATACATTCTATTATATATATATTTCACATATATTCTATATTTGTTCTCTATACATGTACTCAGCATAAATGTTTTAGTCTGTCTACTCCAATTACTTTACTTTCTGATTGTGCTCTGCACTGCATTTTAGCCCCAGAACTGAGATTTCATGGTTTGCTTACTAGTTAGTTTTACTCTGGGTTTACCTCTAGATTATACCCTTTCAGAATAAAGAGCATACCAGGTAAGGCCAGATGTAGTGATGCACACACAATCCCAGTACTCAGGAAGCTGAAGAACAGAACTGCTTTGAGTTTGAGACCAGCTTGAGCTATATAGTGAGTTTGAGGCCAGCCTAGACTACACAGTTAAGACCTATCTCAAAAACAAGAAACAGCTGGGCATGGTGGTGCATGCCTTTAATGCCAGGCCTTGGGAGAAAGAGGCAGGAGGATCTCTGACAATTCAAAAGTTCTGGTCTACATAGTGAGTTTTCAGGGCAGCTGGGACTACAGGAAGACCCTGTCTCAAAAAGACCAAAAAACCCCACCAACCAACAAAATATCAACCAATAGCCACTCTCACGAAGTTATTCATTACAACTGGAAAAAAGATTAACTGTAGCTGGGCATGATCCCAGTACTATGAGGGTTGAAGCAGGAAGATCTTGGGTTTGAGGGTAGCCTGAACTATATAACAAGACTGTGTGTCTCAAGAAACCACTCCTCTCCAGGCTGGAGAGATGGCTCAGCTGTTAAGAGAACTGGCTGCTCTTGCAGAGGACCTGGTTCAGTTCCCAGCACCCACACAGCAGCTAACAACAGTGCAACTATAGTTCCAGGGGATCTGATGCCCGCTTCTGACCTCCATGAGCACTGCATAACACAGGTGCACTTACATACAAGTAAGCAATATATTCATACACATAACAATATTTTTAAAAACCACTCTTCTCAAAAAAAAAAAAAAGTTTACTTCAAAATGATCACCCCTCACTACCATCCCCCAGAAGCTTCTATTAGCCTACAATGTCCTTCTTACTGCATCACTGCCATTTAACATGCTGGGTCTTAGGTGTTCAAATTCCACTAGTGTACAGGTAAAAGGGACAATACCAAAGGTTTACACTGACCTCTGATTCTAGAGCCTTAGGCTATGCTAGTTCATAAACATCATCACACAACCCTTCTCCACAGGGTCCACCATTCTCACCACTTCTATTCCTGCAGCTGTGAAATGCACACATTTCTACTGGTAATGCATGCCACAGTGGCACCTGAGCATTAAGTAGGGTACTGGACACCCTGGCACTGTTTGTAGTGATAGTCAACTCTTTCTCAAGTCACACAGTGTTCTTTTCAGTCACTTCACAATACTTATCTGTCACGTCCACAAAGGACAAGCTCAACAAATAGTGGCTTCACTGATGCACCTCCTTTCTCCTATTATTAACACAAGCATATGTTGAATTCCTGTCTCTGCATGGTCTTACAAGGTATATGACAGTCTGTCATCTATAAAATAAGGAACTAGTACACGAGGGCCTTAAACCCCTCCCAGTGCCATTACTGAATTTCTTTAGACAAAACAAAACTTCTATATTCCTGTTGGCACTATACTTTTTGGAGAAGTAAGCAACCTTAAGAGCCCTAATATAGAGTCAGAAATTAAATGAGAGGAAGACAAGTTAACCAAGGTAACAGAAGTCTACCATCATTAGCAACAGGTGTCATAGGTGTAACCCAGTATTCTCTGATACATTTTGGTATGCCCTGGAACCTTTTAACACAGCAGCTATAGGGAGGTGCATGGGTACCCAAAACTTGCTGCAATACCTTGCTAGCCCTTTTAGAACCCTTCGGGTTCTTTTTTTAAGTCCCTGAATAGAAATCTGCAAAGCAGTCATTACGAGGTCTGACATCCGGTAATACTTTAATACACTTGGGTCCCCAAGTCTTTGCATGCAGCACAGCAGTGGAAGGTAGAGGGCTGACAAGCAATGCAATAACGTATTTTACACACAGTCACCTCTTTGAAATTAATTCATGGACATAATGAAGGGTTGCTATAGGCCCAAGGTGTCCAAAGGAAGCACACAGTAGTAACACATCACATACATGCGCTGCAGTGTCACAGGGTACCCATAAATAAAATTACTATGTCAAACAAAAATGGGACAAAAGTGAGAATGCAAGTTGCATATGTAGGCTGAGATTCTCTAGTAGCTGTGCTTTCAAAAACTAAACCAGGATACTGATGACGTATCTTTCTTTTTTGAACTAAGTCCTCAAAATCTGCAGTGTATCTTACACAAACCACATTTCAATTTCAGTACTGAATTTTCAACAGATAGATATTTAATCTGTATTTAGATTTCACAGGCTTAGTAGCATAAAAAGCAGACACATATGCTCAAGTATGTTTCCAAACATACTTAAGTTCCAGTAATTGAGTCAAGTATGGCTTTTAGAAATTAAGATTGAAAATTTCAGCTCACCATCCTCCCTGTATTATTAGAAGGTGGATGTGTCAAGTAGCTAGGGGCTACCTGAGTAGGAAGTACAGACGATCCTGTCTGTTGCCTGGATTCTTTTAACTGAATCAGAATAAATGATGTTACCCCATCCACCAACAGGTCTTGCTACAGTATACACCAAGTGCCCAAATGATATCAAGTATTTTCTGTGCAGCTTCCAACCCCTTATACTGTCAATGCTTCAGTAATGATTCTTTTCTAAGCAGTTGTCTTTGGAAAGGGCTGTTTGGTAAAGAGAGAGATATACCTCAATTCAGGGACAGAATGGATTTAAAGACAAGGAGATTAATTTCCAAGGTAATGTCAGGAAATCTTGACACCCCTGCTTCTTTACCTAGCTTGTTCTTCATTCTGCAAAAGTCACAACTGTTTTTGCTGACCCTATCAACTTACAGAAAGCAGCTGCCCTGCATCCTAAGATTCCATCTTCTTCAAAAGCCCCCTCCTAGCTTCTCCCTACCATACCATGTCTATACCAGACTACAGAGCACAATCCAAGAGTCCCTCTTTAACTACACAGAAATGTACTTACTGTTGACATACCAAAACATATGAATAGTACATGAATCTTACACCAAAATATTAACTGGCCTAGGTAACTAAGTCTGCCTTGAGAAAAGCCTTTCTGAAATACCTGGACAGTACCCTCCTCCCCCAAAGGAGCCATTTCTCATTACAGCTTTCTCTTCTCCCCATGTCGAAGTTCAGAGTGTCCCTCCAGCAGCTGATTTAAAAGTTGATCTTGTAAAGGAGCCGGGTTCTTAAGGTAGTTCTATTTTAAGGCGCCTTCCTGTTCTGAAGCTAAAGTTGGAAGGGTGGTGATGTAACAGAAGGAAGACTTGGCTTTTTCAGAAGGGTCTTCTCTGGGACCTGAGGACACAAGGTGCATGTGGTGATGATAGGGGGTGGGGGGGACTAGGACAGCTCCCCTCGCATCTTTGTCCTCTCCTTCCTTCTGGAGTCCCAGTTAGTCTTTAGCCAGGGAGAAAATGAATTCTAATAGCAGGCAAACACACTTGCCTATTTTCTATGCTAAACATACCGTAAATTAAATGATAGAGGAGGAAAATGTCTAACTCTAGGAAAGAGGGCTGACCATCTCTTTCACCACCTACTCCCTTCTTCCAAACATCTATAGGGCTAGGAGTAAAATGGGTTGTAGGAACAGCTGTTAGGAAGAATAGCAGAGATTACATACACAGGGTTCAGAGAGGGAAATACTACAGGGGTATTTGGACCTGGAACCCGGTGACCCCAGAGTCCCTTCTCTTTCCCTGTTTTCTCCTCCCTCCTGGAAAAGCCTTGGGGCTGGGTGTGCCGGCTGCTGGGAGGCTTTTGGCTCTGACTACCAGGAGAGGGGCCAGGGTGCGGCCCACAGGGAATAAAAGCTTAGGCCTGGTTCTGGGCTAAGTTTAGCGGAAGAGTAGAGGAACCGGGGGAAGTGCAGATTTGGTGGAAGACCCACTGGGGAATAAAAAACAGCGCCCGACTGGCAGGAGGAAGGACTCTTTCTCAACTTAAGCCCAGCATTCAGTGCTGGTGGTGGGGAACACGGATGAAAGAAGAGAAAAATTATAACACAACAGTAAACCGCAACTTCTGGGGGGTAGGAGTGCCGACCTACCCAAAGCAATCAGCAGGTGAAAGGCGCGCTGTTTGCCGATTCCGGGTGTGAGGGTCTGCCTCAGCCCTGGAGGGCACGGTATTGCCTGTTTCTCAGCTCAGCTCACCTCCAAAGCGGGACGCAGTTTAGGTGTGGTCTTGCTCCAGGAAGGTTGGCAGCTAGCTGGCTGCGGGTAGCGGGAGTAAGGAAACGATTCCTCATAGACAAGGCGGGAGAAGCCCCGGGGTCAGCCGCAGCCAGAAGCCCGGGGTCTCCGCCAACTTCTCCCCCGTTCCCCTGAAAACCGACCTGGACCAGCATCCATTACACGAACATCCCCACCTCTCCAATTATGTTTCTAATAAAAGAAACAGCTACTCAGGCCCACGTTAAAAAAAAAGAAAAAAGAAAAAGCTGGAGCTCTGAGTGATGGAAATAAACAGGTGAGCCCAGGAAAAAGCGGGAAAGAGTGGGGATGGGAGAATGGAGGGGTGGGGGGCGTTCCCGAACGTGCGGGGAAACCGAGGCTCCCCCACCCGCCCTCCCTCTGCCCCAACGGTCTGCGTGGCAGGCTGCGTGCTGCAAACGCTGCTGACAGGCATCCCAGCCCTCCGCACCCCCGGCTGCATACCCGTGGCTCCCGCGTCCCGGCCTGGGGCTCCGCACGGGGTTCACCCGCACCCCGGCCCGCCGCCGCCGCCGCCGCCGCCGCGGGGACTCCGCTCTACCTCGGTTCCCTCCGCCTCCTCCGCGCAGACTCCTCCCGCCAGATCCGTCATGTAAACAACCTCCCGG